TTTGTGAAGATAGCACTTATCGTTTTAATTCTGTAGGTGTGCCAAATGTGGCACACTGATTGAATACAGTTTCGAAAGGAGTGCTGAAACGAGTATTGTTGTTAATGAACTGACCGATGAGATGCGGAGAAACAAAGAATACAGACTCTCAGTTGTCCTAGATTATCGGTGAGCCCAGTCTGAGCACACCTATGGTTCGCCGTTTGATTTTAGGCAAGATGTCAAGGTCAAAATTTAAAACTATTATAGAATAAGGATATTAGCATACAGGCAAAAAATAACATAGAAATTTCTTTTAGAACTATTCCTTTTATACCCTAAAAAAATCTGGAAGATTTCTTTGAAAAATGAGGGTCTTAAAAAACTGAACATGGCTAAAATATATGGACTGGTTTGGTTCAGCTGCCATCTACTATAAATAAAGAAGGTTCAGAGTAACCTATAAATTCTTTTTCATTCAATTTTTCTGTGCGTACAGAAGGAAATTTTTAGGTGTGTCCAGACCGGACACACTGTGCCGCAAAGGATTAAACTGCTATCTGGCCCTTTACAAGTATACAAGCTACTCAGGATATTCAGTTGCTGATGTTAACATGAGCAAATTGTATTATACCTTATAGTTCACATAAGATCTTGCTCTCAAACAAGATTCTGAAAATTAAAACGAAGTTTGTAAGGATCTTAAGTTTTACTAACATTTATTTTATTTTAAATCTTTACTATCACTTCTTATTTTCTACTTCCGGCCAGAATTAAAAGCTTTAACTTATTTATGCAAATTTGTCTTGCGAACGCCAAGTACTGAAGTTGTGGCTTTTTGCCAAGCAAGAGAGAGGAAGGAGTGACTAGGAGCAGGCCGCTTGCCATAGCAGTTTTACTCGGTTGCTGGTTGCCTTCAAGGCCAGAGGTTTTAATCCTCTTGATAATTTTAAACGTATCGTAGTGTTAACAGTTCTCTGTACTACATACGGCCTTCTGTTAATATACGGCCAATCTTCAAGTAGACGCTTGTTTATTATCGAAAGTTAGTTTAGTTAGAATTTAGTTAATATTTATATTCTTACGTTCAGACCAGAAGTGGTTGGTCTCTGTATTCCAAGTCCGGAAATCATTGTAAAGAGAGAAAAATAAAGGGTTTCGTATACCCTTCCTGTGTATCTTGTCTACTTCCCACATTTATTGAACATAGCTTTAGTAAGCTCCCTGTTCCGAGTCAGGTCATTTAATGTTCCCCAAGCAAGTAAGGAGGAACACGGAACCTGATAAGTTTAAACTTTGAGTAAAAGCTTAATCTGAAAGAAACAAAAAATTATACTCCCTTCGGAAGTCCCTCGCGACTGTAAATTTTCGACCCCATAAATTCCGCCTCCGAGAGGATCATCATAAAAGTGTTACAAATGAGATTTGCCTTTAGTATCCTAAAAGGTTCAAAAATACAAAATAAAATCAAAGATGAGAGAAAATTTTAAAATCCTGAAATCCAATAACTGTAAAAAAGTTCTGTTCTTCACTTAATCAGCCATACCATATACAGCTGATATTAGGAGAAAATGATAAATTTTAATGAACAATTCAATGAATTTCTTATGCACTTTAAACTATTTTCATTAAAATCTATAACTTTCAACTGTTATCATTGGTATGGTCTGTATGGTAATATCAGCTACATCACTGTTCATCATTGCTGGATCATGTTTCAATTTATAAAATGTGCAGACTAACAAATAGTGATAACGATTCAAATCACATCAAATATTCTCTTATTCCGACGATAAAACTTTCGTGACAGACTAAATGGATCAGTGCTCTGTTTTATTTGAATATAAAATCACATTTGATAATTAACATGAACTCTCTAAATTTACATAAAAACACATAAAAGAAAAGGAAAACATTATTTGAGTCTTATTTCTCATATAAAAATATTAAATAACTATTTCTTAAATAGCCAGATGTTCTTTAACATTTTAAAATATTTTGTGTCATAACTATTTAAACTGCAGTTTTTATTAAAATTCTGATTTGGTTTTATACCGTTCAAGTTGAAAATGTAAGCGAACAGAAACACTAGCGCAACACAGTTGGCCTTTAGTTGTCTTTGCTCACTGCACACTTATTACTTTGTACCATATTTTACATTAATTAATCACTTATTATGATTTGAAAATTCACAATTACTTCTCCTTTACGTAGCCAGAATGCAGATTTCATTGAAATTTATTTAAAGTAAGGGTTTGGAATATTTTAGATATATACAATTCCTGGAAGCGAGGCCCGTAGTTTATATTCCATTGCCCAGATTTGCCAGTGAATATTACGGATTTAGCCATTTTAATAGCCGACTTTAATATGCTAATTTAAAGTTTTGGGCTAGCTTAAGTAGGATAATTTGTGAAGTCTCTGACCACGTTTACTTTGATTTGATATTTCAACTTTATTACTTTAAATACTCAAAAGTGTCAGAATTTATTTGTACGCAGAAGTTGTGCTTTCTTCTCATTTAAAAAAAGAAATTTTTAAAACTTTCTTAAGACTTACAATATTTCAGACAGAGAGATAATTCGTCTTGTTGTAACTGCGTGTCTCATTGCTTCGTGTCTCATTGTAACTGCGTGTCTCATTGCTTCGTGTCTCATTGTAACTGCGTGTCTCATTGTTTCGTGTCTCATTGTAACTGCGTCTGAAGGACTTAGAGACAATTAGAACCCTATAACTTTCAGAAAAGATATGCGGAATACGGTGCGTAAAGTACAATATGCTAATCTAACATCACACAGAAATATTAAAGGGTATATTGCGAAGAATTTTAGAGTTAGTCTAAAGCAGCGGTCTTCAAACTTTGTCGGCTCTCCCTTAGAACTATGATGTTTTTTCAGAGTACTCCATTCCACCTTTAGAAAAATATACCTCAAAATAATATTTAAGATAGATGAATATGTTATAGACACTTTATATACAGACAATTAAAGAAAAGTATTTATTTTTTATTAAAACATTTTAACACAAAATTAATGTAATTTACTTATTATTAGCATTAACTCGTGTTCCAGTTTTCACCTACTCTTGCATTATATTAAGTGACAGAGTTCTATTTGCATTTTTTTTTACATGAACTGCCGAAGTCTAGCTCTATTAATGTTATCTACTGTTTCATTTCCTATTCTTCATTTAATTTGTGTCTATATCCTGTTTTTGTTGCCACATAAGTTGAGAAAGGTTTTTCACTTAAGTACGTTGTTCCGAATGCCATAAATGTTTATAATAGCATTGTGAGAATTTTTTAGGTATTCTGCATGAATTTACAACCAAACATTTAAGAACTGCTTTTGCTTAAATTTAGATCTTAGCGGCGAATCTGTTGATATGCGGATAAGCTGTTCCCTCTCCTTCATGGGCTAATCTTCTGACTTATCGGAGCATACTTTTTTAATCCAGTAATACTTAATAATTTTTTCTTCTGACATATATTTTTAAAAATTTTCTTCAATTGAAAAAGGTTCTTCTTTGTATAAGTTTTAACTGTTGTCTAAATCTAATTCACTTTGCATTAGAAAACTGTTTAGTTTTGCAAAGTGCTGCATGTCATTTTTTATGACATATGATGAACAGATGTTAAGTTTGCGATCTGTAACTAAACGTATCTTTATATTTTTTTAGTTAATAAACACTAGTCAGATAGTGCGAGTGCTTTATAATAATCTTCCGAATTTTTATTTTGGCTCGAACACTGGGGTTTCGCGACATACCAAATATTCAAACTTCAAGACATAGTTTGAAGACCACTGGTCTAAAGAATTAGTAAATACACTAACTTCATAAAGTAACAGAACTCATGAAATATAATATAGTAAATTCGGATAGCAATTGTTACGTAATGACGTCAATAAATGGTGGCAGCTATCTAAAAACTTTGTTTTATGAATAGCCTTTTTGTTTACTTTTTATAAGATGGCATCAGTTTTGCTGCACGCATTCTGCCTCGGTCTTTTCCATCTAGTGCTATTAAAAATTCTAATAATATGCATTTTTCCTGTTTTTGATAGTATGCTGTTGGAAAATTTATATTATTTCAAGATATATGTGAAGATGATTATATCAAGTGTTCAATAAAGCAAAAAAACATGCGCATTATCCAGGTACATGAAATGCGTTTCTTGTTTCCTAAATATTGAAGGTATATTGCAAAGCGTTACTCTGGACTCACTGTGTCTAAGTTTTTTAAGGTTTACATATATATTAAGGGCCTGTTTAGAAGAACCGTTGCCGGGTAGTCTCGGCGTAGTTTTGATTTTGTTTTTCTTAAGATTTCCTTTCAGCAATCAATTTAAAAAATTTAAAAAATTATAAATATTTTAGAAGCTGTGAAATGAAAAAATAAATAAATAGTGCGATTTCACATAATACGAGATTAAAATTCAACTACATAAAGATGCAACAGTCACAAGAAAACCTGATAAAGATTTTCTATCAATACATAATTTACAAAACAATTAACAATTGTTAGGCAGGATTTACTGTCAGTTCTATAAGTTGATTATTTCTTTATTATAACTGTGATTTTTTTTTAAAAAGCTGGAGAACTCTAAAGATGTATTTCATGTAGAAGTTTCAATCACTTGGTAGCTTTCTGACATGAAAACTTTTTGTGATAAGGCTGAAGAACAGATAATGATCTAGATGTCTCCTTTCTCCCCACACGCACAGCTTTGAAGGACAGGAGTTTCTTCAAAATAAATAAGAAGGGAACAGCCCATGACCTGATGTTATTAATTTATGTATTCTAGTTGTACAGTGTTTGAAATGGGAATGTTCCTTTAAAACAAAGAGTACTAAAAGCGTACTTGATTTGCGTACAAAAAGGTGTGGTTATTTTATCACACGCTTTAGTACGCTTTAGTACGCAAATGAACAGTTGCAGTCCTCAACAAAAAGATAACATAATAACAAATTTGAAAGTGCGTTAAACACATTTAGACAAAATACAGCAGCAAGATTTTAACCTGTGATTCCTCTGGTTTTCCCCGTACTGCCAACCTTTGTTTCTGTCTCCTATAAGAGTGATGATATCTCCTTCGTGGAAACTCAACTGATGTTCCCCGCTGGACAGATATGAGTAAAGAGCTCGAACTCTAGAATGACCAGTCTTGGAATCAGGCTCCACAAGACTTTTCGGACGGAGCGTCATTCCTACGTGGGGAAAGAGAGAATTTAAAATAATTTACTTTTAATGATATCATATCTTTGCCAGGCATACCTGGTAAATATTTTAAATATTTAGCAGCATAACACTGAAAAAACAGAAAATTAAATAGACGGGAAAGGCCCTTCCTAAACCCCTTAATTATATTTTATTGAAAAAATATCGAATTTGTTTCACCAAATGCGGAAAAGTCTGCCTATGGAAACAATACGTCCCGTAAGTGGCATTCGCCTGAAACATCGCGGACGAAAACATCGCGAAGAAAACAATGCAAAGCGAAAATATCTTAGTATAGTACATGGTAGGAGAAAAGAAAATAAGGAGAAAGCATCGCAGTTCTGAAACATCAAGGTCGAAAATAAAGCGGTTCAAAAACATCGCAGTTTTCAAACATCTTTGTAAAGAAAAATGTTTATATATATATATATAAACCTACAAATCATCGCATGATGATAACATTGGCAGACATGTGTGCTTTTTAAGTTTTAAAACTTGTAAATGAATATTTGCATAATGTTCTGTGACCTCAAGAAGGAATGAGCAATATTTTTGTTTTAAATAATAACTTTTTGATGAAAACACGATAAGGAAACTTAAGCATTCAAAAACTGAAAATGAGTAAAATATTCATCTAATGTATAGCAGTTGATAGAATTTTAAATTTATGTATTTAATTATTAAAAGTCATTATTTAATTATTCTCTAATGAAGTTGTACTGGAAGTTTTTCGTCAAAAATATAGTCGAAAAAGATTAGAAAAGGGTTGATGATTAACTAAATGTGGTTACCTGTATTAAAATTATTTAACAAATTGAAACAAAGCAAAATTTAATTTAATTTTCACTAAAAGAATATCAGATAGTTAATCATCTTGCCTTTTTTAATCTTTTTCGACTATATTTTTCATAAAAAGCCGGCAGTACAGGTTCATTAACGAGAATAATTAGCTAATGACTTAACAATTAAGTAAATAAATTTAAAATTCTATCAACTGCTACACAAAGGAATAATTTTCTACGCATTTTCAATTTTTGAATCTTCAAGTTCCCTTCTTGTTTTTTTAACGTAATATTATGAATTAATCCAAAAGTATGAAATACGGAGATAAAAATATTCATCATCCCTTCTTCATTTCGCAGAGCATTATGCGAATATTCATTTATAACATTTAAAAACTTTAAAAGCACACCGTCACGCGATGATTTCCAAGTGCTCTATTTTCTACCCCAGTACTGTGGAACCTCGAGATAAGAGTTTAATTTGTTCTAGCACTGAGCTCGTATAGCGAATTTCTCGTATCTAGAAACAAACTTCCCCATTGAAAATAATGGAAATCCAGTTAATCCATTCCGCACCCCCAAAAATATCAACATATAAATCAATTTTTATAATAAATAACACTGGTAAATAATACGTGGTGTGTTTCGGAGAAGGTCCAAGTACAGATTCTTAACCTTAGAGCAAGTGATAGGTTCCGACACCCAATCGCCTTTTAACTGCTTCTAGTTAATCCACACCAACAACAGCTTCCCAGTACCTTCTAGGAGTTTTCGGTGGTGATTGGATGCAAGAGCAACTCTTTTGGTCACACTTATCTAAGCCAACAATCTTCTTGGGAAGCATGGCGAAATAATTACTCTTTTGAAAGAAAAAGAAAAAAAAAAAAAAATTGGAGCAACTCTTTTGGTCACACTCTAAGAAGCCAATGCAAGAGCACTCTTTGGTCATTATCTAAGCCAACAATCTTGGGAAGCATGGCGAAATAATTACTCTTTTGAAAGAAAAAGAAAAAAAAAAAAAAAAAAATGAAGCACCATGAAGGAAGTGGTTGTTTTTGATGAAATTGAATATGTGTATAGCTCATACATAGATAATAAAATGATTAAAAAATCAAGGTCATAGTACCTGTTCGGGGCTCACCATCACCCTGTTCAAATTAGTAGTCGGTCGAACCACCCTGGCGGCAATGCATGTTTGAATTCGTCGAGGCAAGGAGTGGTAGAGGTTCCTAATGTCATCCTGCGACACATTCTGCCAGGCACTCATCAGTTGTTGCTCCAAATCTGCAATATTTTGTGGTGCCCGAATCTGGCGGCCTACCAATGCCCTGACATGCTCCATTGGTGAAAGGTCTGATGTCCTTGCTGGCCAAGGAAGAGTATCAACCGCACGGAGACAGTCCAGAGGTATACGAGTGGCATGTGGCCTGGCATTATCTTGTTGGAAAATGGCCCCAGGATGACGTGCCATGAAGGGTAATGCAACCAGCCGCAGGGATGGTGTCAACATATCATTTAGCTGTTAAACGATGTACGGAGGATGACTAAAGATGACCTGCTGTCATAAGAAATAGCTCTCCACACCAGAGATTATGGCTGTATGCCTTCGTAAGACAAAGGCTGATTGGGACCGTCCTCTCTAGACACGAACACGGTGGTCATCTGCTTCAAGTGTGAAGCGGGATTCATCTCTGAACACTATACGATGCCAGTCTGATGGCAGCCATGACGATCGGCTGCGACACTACTCCAGACGACTCCGCCGAAGTTGTGGGGGTCAAAGGCAAACGTCTTAAAGGCCATGAGAGGGTGGACGGTACTACGAGAGGTATAGACGTGGCTGTAGTGCGTTGAATAGTTGACAATGATTACCGTTGGGACCTGCCGAAAAATCATCCTATTTCGCCTCGGATTTGTGCTCCTTGGCCTTCCAAAGCCTTCATTTCGTTGGCAATTTCCTTGTAGCAACTATTGCTGCCAACATCTTTGCACAGCAGAGTCTCTGTACGCTGCAGGTGGTGCCTATTGCTTGGTATGACCAGCGAGCTTCAGGCAACCCTTCAATGCGACCACGTTCGTTAGTTGTCTGTAAGGTCTTCGATATCGTCGTAATGGCATCTTTAGTTGCTTCTTTACGGAATTACAATGGCAGCGACAAAAAAGATAAATTTTCCGTCTCTGTTACTAGCTTTATACTTTGCGAATTGCGTACTAGAAATGCGCACTATGATCGCAGTTCCTGTTCATTTGCCTTGAAGCACTGATCATTTGCATGATCATGATGTTTATGCATACCAAATTTCGTCACTATCGCAAAAGTCCTTCTTGGTGCTTCGACGTTTTTGCAAAAGAGTGTATTTTGATGTTAAATGTAAAAAAACTACTCACAAGCGCACAGACATGTAGATCAAAGAACACCGAGTGATCTGACGAATGGATTCCTCGAGTCGAGCCGGATCGGGACTTTACTCGAGTCACGTATTTAGAGATGAATATTTCGCTCATTATTTTCCTCGTGTCTCGAGTTTCTCGTATATATTGCTCGTTGCTCGTATCTCGAGGTTCCACTGCATATTTTACGATGATTTTTTTGAACAGCTTTATTTTATTTTTTACTAGGGTGCTTCAGAACTGCCACTCCTTGCTTTGCTTTCTCCTACGATGTTTTGCCCTGCGTTGTTTTAGTGATGTTTTCGTCCGTGCATTTTTCGTCTGTAACCCCTGTAAATGCCGCTTTTCAGTGTAAAACTGCGGTAATTTGTTATAAAGCATTCATATTTTAACTTTTCTTATCAATTGTTAATACAGTGAACCAGTAACCTTATTCGATTCAGATAAATAGGTCAAAGGTCCATACTTACCGTAATCGTTTGATATGAGACTAGCATTAGATGAAGCAATATTGAAATCTGACTTCGCCCTCATGAGAGGCCTAGGAAAAGGGTCAAGAGGTGCTTCTCTTAGGTCCACACAACTGGCATCGATGCTTCTAGTCTTCCTCAGAGTACTGCCCAGAGGGGAGGGAACATATAACGATGTCATTGTAGGCGGATTTTCGAGAATATTGGCACTCGCATATTCACTGCAGCTCTGTTTAACGGTAAGAACGAAATTGACATAAATTATCGTCATTTAAAAATTATTTTCAACTGAAAAAAATGGAGATACTTTATACCACTTTAAAAACAGTTCTTCAAAACATATTGGCCACACACTCAACGGGCTTAAAATTCAACGTATACTAAACAACTCGAAGATTCATCGATGAAAACCGTCTCGAAAAATGCTTTCTATTTTTCATTTGGATGTCACATTTCGGAAATACAGGTGCTGAGAAAGTTATTATTTCAATTCCGTAGCATATTTATCCATGAAAAGAAACAAAGGCATACATACATCTGACAAAACAGTGCTCACAAAGCATACAGTGTTACTGCTTATACTTGTGCAACATTATCTGATCTTGGCATTGTATGATAAAGCGATGGAATAATGGATATGGGTATCATCAGATTGGACGATAACTGACTAAAAAACCTGTGCTGTTTCAAACACCGAACTTAACTTTCGTTTTTAAATACGTATATCGTAATACTCTTGGAAATTGAAAGGTACAATGATCAAACACAACAACGAATTATGAACTTAGCCGATACCCTGGCTAACTACTTAACAGCAGCCTCCAGCATCGCGCAGTAACAGAACGAACCACTTTAAGTTGATCAGGTGCTTCGAATTTGTTCAGTGTCGTAATCTCTAATCGTGATAAACACATGCCACAAAATATTTTCGTTATTGGATCTGACGCAACAAAATCTGTTGCTTATGTACCTTCTGAAATGGCATACAATCACAACACGAAAAGCACTGTTCGATAGTTTACTAGAAATAGCTCAGCACCCTTATTGTAAGCGAGATTCTAATCACTTTACATAATAAGATATAACACGTACGAAAGAAGAGCTATCAGTTTTCAATAATTAAGAATATTAGTCACAAACCTTATAGTTATTAGTCGGTGGAAATAATTTATCGATGGGCTCGGGGAGAGATTCTCGACTTTTGGCTATTTCTTCCCATTCTTCTAAATGATGCTGCAGCAGATTCTGCCCCTGGGTAGGAAATACACAAAACTTCCTGTAATTTTTATGTAATCACTTTGTTAGATTTAGAACCAAGTAAGAAAACGTAAAATTCAACGAAATATATTATATACTCAAGTTTCTTACACTTAGCTATCATCTTTAAATCATATTATTCCATTCAATTAATAAGAAATAGGTACGATTGTACTTAATAATATTGAGATTATCTTTGCTATATGCACAGAAAGAAAAGATAACGTAAAATACACCAATCTTCATTAATTAATTACATAAATTAAGAATTTGTTATTACAATTTACTTACTGTTCTTGGTTATATTACTCTTGTAACATGATTTCAAACATTTAAATTTTCCCAATTTGTCGGGGATGGGGAGGGAAAAGTTTTACCTCGTGTTGCTGGATGCAATGTGCTAAAGATATCAATCTGAAGTTTTAGTTGCTGTTTAATCTTGATTCCCAGCCAACACATCAGGTTTCCTAAATTTGCTGAATTAAATAGATATCGTGTGCCTACAAAGGTTTATAGAGATTTTGAAGTGGACTGTTTACTATTAAGTACATGAAATTAGAATGTATACGTAGAATATCATCTTGAAGTATATGTAGACAGTGGGCATACACTGACTACCAATAAGTATTTGGACACCTGTGATAGAAAAGAAAAACTAACTGTATTCAAAATCAATAGTTGGTAGAGCCTCCACTAGAGGTAATTACAGCGTGGACCCTCCGGGGCATACTTTCCACAAGTCTTTGTATGACAGCTAATGGTATTTTCTTCCACTCGGCTTGGAGAAGACACATAAGTTCCTTCACCGATTTTGCACGGGTAGTGCACCTCTGAATTCAGCGATACAACTCATCTCAGAGGTTCTCGATAGGGTTCAGGTCTGGACTCTGGGCGGGCCAGTCCATTCGATGAATTCCATTGGCACCATACCAAGCCTTGGTTAACGTCAAAACATGACAACTGGTATTGTCGTCCTGAAAGTAACAGGGATCCAACCCGTAAAACTGCCACAACGTAGGAAGTACATTGTCATCCAAAATAGTGCAGTAGGCATCGGACTTGAGGTAACCATGAATGGGGACCAAGGGTCCCAGCCCATATCAGGAGAAATACCCCCAGACCATAATTCCACCTCCGCCGAACTTGACTGTTGGCACAATGCATTCTGGCAGGAGACATTCTACAGGTAGACGCAAGACCCAGACCCAGACCCTGCGATCCGAACGGTAAAGGGTGAACCTTGATTCGTCACTCCAAAGAACCCGTTTCCACTGATCTATGGTCCAATTTCGATGTGCTTTGTACCACATTAACCGAGCAGCGCGGTTGGACTTTGTGATCAAAGGTTTATGGGCAGCAGCACGACCATGAAAACCAAGCAGATGTGCTTTCTTACGGATGGTATTCATTGAAACAATACTCCCGGATGCCTGTTGAAACTTCTCGCGGATGAGGGTTATCGGTTGGGTGCGGTTCTTCCGAATTTCTCTGGACAGCACTCGTCGGTCTCTATCTCCCAGTTTCGTTGGTCTGCCGACTCTGGACACATTCCGACAATCACCGCTCACCTTCCACTTCTTAATCACATAGGCCATTGTCTATTTTGTGTACTTCAGATCGCTAGATATATCCCTTAAGGATCGGTCACATTTGTGATACCCGATAATTATACCTTTCTCGAAATCAGAGAGCTCCGAAGTGCGAGGCATCTTGCATGCAACTAAAGCCGATGCTGTTTCCTACACGATATATACCGGCGGAGTCCGTGACGTACCTTAGGACCGCTGATATCGTCATTTGCATAGGTTTCCAAATACTTATTAGTAATCAGTGTAGTAGAACATTAAAAAAAGCCCCCTTTCAAGACTGCGGACGCACGGGCCAAATATTTCAAATAACTTTATGACAAAAAAGACGTCCAAGTAACTATTTAGTTTCTACTGTAAGAGCAACTAATCCAGCGTAATGGATTTCATAGCAGCAAGAATCATGGTATCGATCGCGTATTAGCTATGGAAGATGAACAAACTATGTACACATACTTTCCGGAATGCAGCTTCTCAGAATTCAGTAAACAAAATTCCTTATAATATAGAATATATATCTATGGCTAGTACTTTAAGCCATATAACAGAACTAAGTAGTCAGTATGCAAATCATCCAATTTTCGTGAAGAATTAATGTTGTGTTTCACAGACTTTATTCGCAGCTTACAAATAACGGTATATATTAACAGATGTGTACATTTTTTTTTAAACCAGAGAATCATTCAGAAAAGCTCTATAAGTATCTTAGTACAGCACTCTGTTTCCCTAGGTCCATGAAATGCCAAGAAACAAGGCATTTAAAACATGCTCCTTTGTTTTACGTTTGTTGCGTAATTGACGCAGTACACAGAATTGCTGAAAATTCCTGAACGTCCTATTTTACTTCAACTTTAAAGATTTTACAATTTATTTCGAAGAGGTTATATTCACAACATTTACGGACGGTAAAAGCTTTTCATTTGGAATGAAAAAGATTAAAACAGTTACAATAATGAAGCGTTTTAAAATAAGGAAATAAAACATCACAAAAAATATGCAATTAAATCTTATCCAATATTCCCAAACTTTTCTTATCGCTAAACATTTTTCAAGTCATAAAATCTTTAAGAAGAACTAGCACTTTGGTTTATAGTTATAATAAATGATAACACATATATTAGAATAGCAAAACAAATATTTATTAAACTTTTTGTATTATATTTATAAAAGATGTGTTTTCCAGGTTTTAACACACACACAAAAAAAAGACACATAAAATTAATTAAATGTAAGAAACAAAAAAATTAATATTTTTAATTTTCAGTGACCCTGATGCGTTTGAATCTTCGAAAGAAGTTCTTTTAACATGAAGCATAATGCTAAAAACTTGGATTCTTATATCAGATGCAGCACCAAGCAGGTTTCTATGTTTGGATTTTCTTAGAGAGTAATGTGAAAAACCTGCTTTGCACAAACATTTTGTGATAAGAAGAAATAAAATATGAACTTTTGATAAGTTCGGATATTTTTCTAGCAAACTTATTCAAAATTCCTTCAGCTGAGGACATATCTGTCAGCTCAGTTGTCTCTGTTATAAGATTTCATATCCAAAAATTTATCTTCCAGGTACGGTGAGAAATATTGAACAAAGGTTAATTACAAGTCTTGCAAATGTTATATTTCATTGCAAACTTTACTGTCTGTTTTTAACATGCTTCATTAAAAAGTTATTTAAAGAGGAAAACAGTCAGATTTATTCTTTTATAGTGATAAAATTCAAGAATATGAAATTTCATTTGACAGATGTAGTTTTATTCAATACATTAAAACCGAAAATGTTTCTTTCTTGTAATGATAAATATACTTCGTTACGGTTAGTAAATTTATATACTATATAAACAAAACTCATGAACCAAGTAGGATTTGTTCGACGTTTGTGGTTATCTCCATCGCAGCGGAAAATTACATACTTATGTTTAAATCAATAATACGTTTAGCGATAAAAATATTATACTTATTAGTTAGTATTAACGAAAACTTTATATTTACTTACCAATTTCAAGATGGAAATACAATAAAAAAAGTAAAATCATTAAAAACTAACATTTTTAAAATATTAAATTGGCAGTGAAACACTTCTTTACTTCAGAGCAAAGTGTAGCGAATAGTTTATCCAACAGATGGCAGTATCTGCCAAGCTCCTTTGGTAATTGTCATTGCGCATGCGCAAGCGGAGTGTAAAAAGAAGTATGTTTTAGGAGAATGAGCTTTCGTAAATAATGTTGCTGCGCGTTTTCGCTGTGTAAATAAAAGTATATTTTTAAATCATAGATGTTCTTTACTCTCTAATGCGAAGCACTAGGTTAGTGCACGAATCTCTTCTGATTCAGAAACCATTTTCAAAACCGTGGATCACCACAATAAAAAGTGGCGTCCGTCTGACAGGACGCATTAGTTAGGTAAAGGACACTTTTGATGGTTTAACAGCAGAAATGGAAGCCTTGAAAGTAAGAAGAATACCACTGCGTGCAGCCTTCACGAAAGCATATAATAGCCTACATGGACATTTGAATGAGTCAGAATTGAACAGTGATGTTCTATTATCGTCCCTGGAAATCCTGGAAGATAAAGGAATTCGACTACAACAGTTGGATGAAGAAATATTGGATCTCCTATCAAAATCGAAAGAAGTCTCGCAAGAAGAATATACTAAAGAATTTGAGTCATGTGAGACTTACAAGGAGAAATTAATAGCAGCCAGGATGAAAGTGAAGCAAATCACTGTGAAAACTAGAGAAAAATTTGCTGACTCATGCATCGGTAAATGAAACCAGAACTGTTGATTCAAGAACAACGGCAACGAATTTGAAGCTTCCGAAAATAAATTTGATTGAATTTACAGGTGATCCACGACAATGGTTGAATTTCTGGAATACCTTTAGTAAGATACACGAAGATCCAGTGCTAGATGATCATTTGAAATTCGTATATCTGATCCAGGCTACTGCTGCCAAATCGAAAGCACGGGAAATAGTGCAGAGTTTCCCGACAACTAAAGAAAATTATCCGAAAGTCATCGAACATTTAAAGAATCGTTTTGGACGTGAAGATATTCTTATACAAGTGTACGTTCGGGATTTATTGAATCTTGTGTTGATAAATAATAATGCAACCAAAAAGGACTTTGCGCTATCATCGTTGTACGACAGTTTAGAAACAAAACTGCGTGCTCTGGAATCTCTCGGTGTGACTGAAGATAAATACGCTAGTGTTATTTTTCCGTTAGTTGAATCTTGCCTGCCCCCTGACATCTTACGCGTGTGGGAGAGGGAACGGGAGAGCTCGTCACAACAAGGTAAGAGCGATCTTGAATCTATTCTTCTGTTTTTGAAAAATGAAGTGATATCTGAAGAGAGAATTAAATTAGCGCGTTTTTCTTTTGATAAAAGTAGAAAATCTAAAAGTTAC